GCCTCCCGGGAGCATTCCTGCCCCCCCCACCCCGCCCCATGGCCTCCCAGGCCTCCTCGTCGGATGGACGAGGGGGCCTCCGCATCGCAGGCAGGGACAGGGCTTCCCCTGAAGTCACGCGGCAGGCGGCCCGGGTGCCCAGCAAAGAACATGGCCCTGCCTGTCCCCAGCTCTCGGGGGCCACTCAGGGGGACCTGGGCAGGCATCCCAGCTCTCCGACGGCAGCGCTGCGTCTGTAGTGGGTGCAGCAGGGCCACGGAGCCCGGCCTCCCGGGGTCCAGGCTGGGGAGGAGGGAGGAGGGTGACCGGCACCCTGTCTTCCAGAGGCCGACGACTCGTCCGTGTTTGTGGTGGGCACCGTGCTCTACCGGAACCTGGGCAGCTTCCTGGCCCTTCAGAGGTGGGCACCTGGGAGGCTGGCGTGGGGGGGAGGCCAGCCTGGAGGAGGTGGGGAGGCGGGGGCACGGGCACCGGTGGGCACTCGGGAAAGGGGGCTCCTGGACCCCCTGACGCGGCCCCGACCCCCAGGAACACGACCGTCCTGAACTCCAAGGTCATTTCGGTGACGGTGAAGCCGCCCCCGCGCTCCCTGCTCACCCCCCTGGAGATCGAGTTTGCCCACATGTACAACGTGAGTGCCCCTCGGGTGCGCGTCTGTGCAGGCGCGGCTCCTCCCGCCGGGCCCTGTGTGTGGAGTGGGAGGGACGGGGGGCCTCCCCTCAGCCTTGTAGGAGCTACTTTCACCCCTGAGTGGCGAGTGGGGAAACTGAGGCTCGGAGATCGGCTGCGACCTGCTCAGGGTCACACAGCAGGGTGGCGTGGGAGCCGGAATCTAACCGCCTCTGACACCTGAGTCCCAGCCACGGCGGCCGGTCCCCGTCCACCTGGTGGCTCCTGTGGGGGAGACCCAGCCATCCCATCCCGAGACCATGTGGCCCGGCCGCAGGCCCGCCATGCCCTGTCCCTTGGGGTTGGTTCTCTGTCAGGCCAGGCCGAGATGCCCCGGAGCCCAAGGGTCACCCAACCAGGACAGGGCAGCTCCGGGCCTCGAACCCCAGGCCAGCGTAGTGGGAGGAACCAGCCCTGCTCTCTCCTGCTGTGTGGCCTTGGGCGAGTTGCTCAACCTCTCTGTGCCACGGCTCCCTCCCTTGTCAAGTGGGAGCTGCAGGGTTGGGTGAGGGCTGTCATTCCCATCGGCGTTTAGAGCAGCTGCCCCCCGGGAATGCTGAGAGCCCCCCACCTTTGGCACGTGGTGGCCTGCAGGACGGGGTGTTCCGAGGCCTCCCTGTCCCCGCCTGACCTCGCTCGCTCACCCCTCAGGGCTCCCTGGGGGCTCTCTGTTGCCCCGTTGTGCCCACAGCTGACCGGCCATGGGAGCATCCAGAGGTGCTCGGGCCGCGGCTGCTCAAGGGCAGGAGCTGCCCACGGTCACATGGGGGTGAGGGGGGGGCGCTAGGCTCTTCCCTCCTCTGGCCTCAGCGTCCTCCCCCTCACTCCTCCCCCTCACGAACCTGTTTCCTGGAGGAACTTGTAGGCAGAGCACCTGGCCCACCTGTGGGCGGATCCGGCCGTGACCCTGGGCCGTGACCCGTGACCCATGACCCTGGGCTGTGACCTGTGAGCCTGGGCTGTGACCTGTGACCTGGGTGGGGCTCGAGAGGGGTTGGCAGGTGGCCCTGACTCCTCCCCCTCCCTCCAGGGCACCACCAACCAGACCTGCATCCTGTGGGACGAGACGGACGTGTAAGTGCCTGTGGGTGGTGGCCTCGGCCCAGGGCGGGTTTGGGGCGCTGACCCAGCGCGGCCAGGGGTGCAGCTTCTGGTCTGGCCTCGTCTCCCTCCGCCC